TGACGTTTCCGTTCAATGTGTAACACTAAAGGAGGTCCGCCAGTTCGTGCTGTATATTGAAGAAGACTTGAAACTAGAGATTGAGACCATAAACTCATTGTTTACAGTGTTGATTGAGGTAACAAATCAAGTGAGAAGCAGAGTCATTTTCTCATAGACTTCCACACAGTCAGACTTCTTTGAACAACCAGAGGAGTCGCCGCCTGATGGCGAGGAAAGAGAATGCAAGTTTAAGGCACTTACGCATTGGCTCACTTTTAATAGATGGAGGTTGCCGTCTTGGTCCAACCAACAGAAGCTTAGCACCCATCCTCCGGTTCCCCCTTCAGTTTAACACTCTGTCACCACTTTCACCGTTGTTTGCACTGTTACCCCCGTTAGCGGCGTTAGCTGCCGGCTCGTCGTCAACATTTTTGAGAGGCAACGGAAATGCTCCTAATCCTGCACCTTTAAACTGAGGTGGTGAACATGGTAAACATTATACCTGCTAAAGGTCAGCATGTGAGCATGTTGCCATTTGGTGTCTGTGTTTACCCAAATAAAAACCTTGAGAAAGGCCTCTAGAGATATGTAACTTTCTGACGTGTCAGCCGTGCATTACTTCCAGTCATCTTATCTTTTTAGCATGTTACATGTTGACCCTCGGGACACAAAGTTGTCACGGAGCTGGTTAGAGGACGCTTCATAGTTTAGGGGAAATATGGTCAGAAATATGTATTCACTTTCAGCAATCACTACATTTGTAAACTGTATTTGTATCACTTCCACTCGCGTCACAAAAAAGTGGAAATTTGCATCATATCGTACAAATTTGGAAATGTGAGCCATCATGTAGCACCAATGTCACCCCATAAAGCCACCTCTTAATACAGACCACAGAAGGGACCTTACAATTATGGGGGCTGGTGTGGAATTCTGTTTATGGGAAATGATGAAACAACATATCATTACAGGCATCCAAGGTCAAAACTGTTTCAAATCATTTCCACAAAAATAACCGTGATGATGAGAACGGTAATCGGAGGCCCTGGATGGGATAAAAAAAATACAAGTACACTAAATGTTCCCAAACATTTGAACACACCAGTGTGAACGGAGCCTGACAGAGATGAGGATCAAGAGGAATGTAATCTCAGTGTATTACACAGCAGGGCAGTCTGGACCCAGCGACATAAAGCCAGCGGGCCCACATGGAAGATATATTTGGTATGTTCTGTTCACGTCCTTGCTTTAAAGTCAAATGTTTGTCCAGCAGATCCAATGTCCCCGCACTCCTCGGTGACTCTGTACAATTAGTTCAAGTTTTGAAGACACCTCTGAAGAACGTCTAAAAGTTGGCTATGGAAAGAAACGTGCTGCTCTATGATTGAAGCTTAGTGTCCTTTGCCTACTCGCTCTTCTTCTTGCGTTCCGGGGAGCTGTTCCAGTAGTAGAGAACCTGCAGGGCGATGACGCCGTTACAGGCGGAGGATATGACGTAGGTGAGGGCCATCAGAGTGTCTCCAGTTTCCTGTAAGAAGGCGATATGGCTCAAAACTATTTACTTGTGCGACGTGAACGCAGGCTGATAATAAGAGAGTACTTTTCAACATATTACAGCGGGAAACACACACAGTCCTCTTACCTGCAGTGAGGTGAAGATGCGAGCGAGGGATCCAGCAAACAGCAGGAAGACAGAGACAGCAGACAGCTGGCCAGTGTGCCCATTACGGAAGTTAGAGGCCGCCTGGATCAGCTGAGACACACACACACACCGTCAGTCTCTCCTGCGTTATGTGGGTGTGTGTGTTCGCACATCTGCATTAGTTACTTTCCTTTACATTTTTGGTAAGTTCACAACATGGCAAGTCATTCTGCATTAGTTCCTGTTTGTACTTTAACTATGGAAACAAGCAACAATCAACTGTTAATACTAGTTAATTACTCTCAAAAATATTAGTCATTCATTCTGAAAAAAACCCGTCTCAATAGATAGTTAAACACAGGAACACAGCACTGACGAGCAGACCGAAATGTCCGCTGCCAAATATGATGCGAAAAATAGAATTGATTCATTATATATTACTATAAATGTATTACATTTGTGTGGCCTCACCCTGCCGATGATGATGGCTGGCATGTTAGAGGCCTGTAAGGAGGTAACCACTGACATGGGAGTGACTGGAGACAGC